TCAGGCAGCCATGTTGCCGCTGAAGCCGGTTTACGCTGAGATAATTCATACCCCTTCGTTTGAAGTGTGGTCCCGAAAAATCTTCGTTTGAAGGGCTATCTGGCCCTTCCCCTCCCCCTACCCCTCCAACCAAAAGAGAATCGAGACACCCCTACCCCTTCACGTGAACGCGCAAAACCGAGGGGTAGGGGAAAGGGGAAGGGGTAGAATTGGGATTGGGCCTTAGTCTCACTTTCTCTCATTTTCTGACTTTATTGCAACTTAAATGTTACTTTTAGTCGAATTTGTACAGCTTTCATTGTTTTTGTTTTTTTTCTGGTGCAAAATACTGTTAAGGACTGTTGCACCTGCGTGTGAGCAGTGCATATTTTCTGGCACTCGTGTTAACAAATGAGTGTTTACATCAGAAGTGTGAGTGGTATGTCTTACAAAATCACAGCTCATACTGCACTCACCCTTGCAGTGTGAAACAAGCATTACACTGTTTAGTACCGTAATACTCTTGCTGACACTAATCACTGTGCACCGCTTGTTCTTACTGTATAACAATGAGATTGTGAAACACTCAAACAGGAATTTTTTTTTGCTGTCAATCCTGGCAGTATGTTGCTGCCTTAATTGTGCACCACAAGTGTTCTTTCTTCGTGTTGTGTTGGCCAGAATAAATGTATTTTGTATTTCAATGTATTTTTTTATATGATAAAATGTCACATACACACACACATTCATCACATTTCCAGGGGAGACTTTCTTAAAGTTCTTATAATTATGCATTTAAAATGAACTGGATCAAACAACATACAGTTACACAATTTGACAATAGATATGTTGTATGAAATAAAATCAGTTTATTATGATATTGAACTAGGAACAATATTGTTTTGGTTTGTCACTTAATTTATGATATATGATGATATAATTATTAAAATACTCAAGTGCTACCCTACACAACGACTCCTGTGATCTCCAAGCTGAGCATTTGTTTCATTTGGTTTAGTAATGTGAATAAACTAAGAGTCTCTGGAAAAACAGTTTCGACATTTGTAATATGATTCCTGATATCTCTACATTATACATTATTAAAAAAGCGTCGGATGTTACCTAATCTCATTCTGTAGAAAGAGCAGCAATGCATCAAATAATGAGTAAATAAACTTATGAACTTACATGAGTATTAGAGGGAAGCTTCCTTTCGTAATCCCTCTTGACAAAAAAAATTGTATTCTGGATCCTGATCCTCAAGTGAAACTTTTCTCTGAACGATATTTTATGTATTCTTGCTGTCACTCTGTCATAACCTGACTTCAGTTTATCGTCACTGTATGAGCATGAAAGGAATGCAGATCTTCCAGTTACACCATGAGCTGCAGAGAAACTGAAAGTGAGAGATAGGGAACAGAAAATCACAGGGATATCGTCTGGATTTTCCATGCATTTGCCTTTCAAATTTTATTTACAAACAGCACCAACAGATGCAGCAGAAAACTTCTATGAAAAAAAAAATGAAACTACCAGTGTTGAAGTCATTTATTTTCTTATCTGGGCTCAATTTACAGTAATCTGCCTCATAGTTCCTCTCTTGTTTTCATCCTGACAGACTGAACAAGTGTTGTAAGAGAATCAAAGTGTGATATTTTCTTGTAATATGAAGGTAGGAGAGTCAATAAGAGTCAATGGTTGTACAGTAAATAAAACCGGGTGAGCAGGTCATCTGACATGCACGGTATGTTACAGCTATGCTCTTATAATAATATACAAAGCTTTTGAATTTTTTTCTTTTTTTTTTTTATCCTATTTTTATTTACCATTAATGAGAACTGATCAAACAGTGAGAAAGTAAGAAAGTACAGGGGCTTAATTATGCAATATACAATTTAATATTTATTTGATAATAATATGTTGATCAAGAATAATAATAATAATGTGTGTGTGTGTGTGTGTGTGTCAGACAGACAGACAGACAGATAGATAGATAGATAGATAGATATCAAATATGACAAGTAAGGCTGTCAGTTGGTGTGTTACATTGTTGCGCCAGTAGGTGGCAGCAAGGGACTGTCTTGAGTGAGTCATACTGTAGACCGTTCAACCATTTTACCCAAAAAGGCTGCTTTATTCAGGAACAAACTAGGTGTTTAAATTATTTTTTACTTTGAACACCATCTTATGAGGCTCAACAAATGAGCAAGGCATCACTGAGGTAATGCTGCAGCCTTTGCATCACTTCATTGAGATCAATGCATGGTCTGCGACTATGTGCTGATGCCAGTAATGTGAAGTCAGCATGAAATGAAAGTTGCTATAGTCTTTTCTTTGTGAGATATAATCAAGTGAATTTTGTGGTGTCCTGTTGTCCAATGTGATGCTTATTAAGGCCACTAGAGAGAGATAGCAGGATTAGGGACAGTGAGAAGAGAGAAGGAGGGAAGAGAGTGTGGAGCACAAGATGTGTGTGTGTGTGTATGTGTTAAAAACTGTTATTAAATGAGTTACGTGACCCGTTCAACTGCTGTGGCCTAGCTTCGTATTGCTACCTGAAACACAACATATTGGCGACGAGGCGACCACGATTGCTGCAAAGATGGCATCGGCTGCATCATTTCCTAACTTCTTCTTACCTGCTACAGGCGATCCCGCGATTCCCTTCAAGACATGGGAACGGATGTTTCAAAATTACCTGCTAGTGATTGACGTCCAAGGACAGGAATGGTCGGAACCTTGGAAAAGAGCCCTACTGTTGCATTGCCTGGGTATGGAGGGGCAGAGAATATCCACGTTACCTGACACGGGCGATACAATGTCCGCTGCAATTACTACTTTACATG